TGTTTCCGATTCTGTGTCTCCCTCTCTCTCTGCCCCTCCCCCGTTCATGCTCTGTCTCTCTCTGTCCCAAAAATAAATAAACGTTGGAAAAAAAAAATTAAAAAAAAAAAAAAAGAAGCTGCAAACTCAAGATTCCGGTGTCCAGGAAGGAGCAAGCAGCTGGGAACCCTCCATAGTCTACGTGTCCCAGAACTTAGCTTCATAAGCTTCTTTTGGGTCTCAGTACATGTACGACCAATAGTTTTCAGAGAGATATTTACATAAATGTAGTCAAATAAATTAACACTCTAATTTGACTCGGTTCTCGGGAACATCAAATGCCAGCGCCTGGGTGAACATACGTGTCTCACCAAAACTGTGAAGTTGTGTTGTGTTTTCACACCGAGAACTCTGAAGAGTCAATAAGCTTTTCTTTTTTCTTTTTCCTCTTTTTCTTAGTATCATCTGTTAACATATCCCTAATATTCCGTGGGACAAAATGTGCCAGGGATTTCAACACGAGAGATGTAGGGAATCGAGGGAAAGGGAGAGGGATTATAATGAAGAAAACATACCTCATTTTTTTTAAAAAAACAAAAACAAAAAGGCACTGAAGTAAATTATCCTTCAAAAACAAGGAGCCTGGTGTTGGGAAGCGAAGTCATAATGCCCTAAAAAATTTCAGTCACTTCCCAAGGACAAGTAGTTGTTGATTTCACCAGAGAGACACTTTTGCCCTAAGATTAAACCAAAGAAAGCACAAGAGTTCTCAACTGAAGAAAGAACCACTTGGGTCACTTAAGGACCAGTGTCTTTGGGACATACAGCTCTTTTCTCATTAGTCAAGCTGTAATTTTCACTCAGGAAGTATATAAAATATGTTGTCAGGGACCAGGAATAAAACATCAATCAAATTCTCTTTCCTTATTATCGGTGTGTATGCTTTTTTTTTTAGGGGGTGGAGAGGGACTGAGGGACAGAAAGAGAGAGAGAGAGAGAGAGAGAGAGAAGGGGAGGGAGAGAGAACCCCAAGCAGGCTCCACACTCAGCACAGAGCCCAACTGACACAAGGGTCATTCCCACAACCCTGGGATCATGACCTGAGCTGAAATCAAGGGTCGGGCTCTCTCAACTGACTGAGCCACCCAGGTGCCCCATGTCGACTTTTGTTACAGGTTAAATTGGGTTCTCCATAAAAGAGGTATGTTCAAGTCCCCCAGTACCTCAGAATGTGACCTTACTTGGAAATACAGTCTTTACAGAGCTGGGCCCTAATGCAATATGGCTAGTGTGCTTACAAAAAAGGGAAAATGTGGACACGGAGACACATACAAATAGAAGGAAAATAATGTGAAGATGTAGAGAGAATGCCATTCATAAGCCAAGGACCACCTGAGACTACCAGAAGCCAGGCAAGAGTCCTGGAACAGATTCTCCCTTATAGCCTCAGAAGAAGCCAACCTAGCCGACATCACGATTTTAGATTTACAGCCTCCAGAACTGGGAGACAATACAAACACACTTCTATTGTTTAAGCCACCAGGTTAGAGGCACTTTGTTATGGCCATCCTAGGAAATTACGACACTGTAGATGCCAGGAGAGCCAAAATCTCTATCTTTTCACTCTCCCAGGTGCCCCCATAGCTAGGCGTGACCACGTAACATGATTTGGGGCAATGAAATGACAGTGGAAGTCTGCCGAAGATTCTGGGTAAATGTTTGGTTTTGTGTATTGGGAGAATTAGGAACAAAGCAGAATGATCAGATCAGATGAGGGAGCAGGGGGTTGTACAGCACGTCTCAGGTCCTTTAGGGCATCAGGCTGGGTCCCCACAGCTCACCTGGAGCCACTGGACCAAGAAACACTCCAGTGGACAAAATAAACCCTTATGTGTGCCTAAAGAAGAACAAAAGAGCTGTCTAGATAATCGTTTGTAAGCCTGTATGAATTGTCTTCAATTTAGGAAATGACATAGAGATCAATCATGGTCCTGTCCTCTCTGTACATAATCACTTCTCATCCAGATGATGAGCTGGTTAGGAAACATCTAAAAGGAAGGAAGGGGTGCCTGGGTGGCTCAGTCGGTTAAGCATCCGACTTCAGCTCAGGTCATGATCTTGCAGTCCATGAGTTCGAGCCCCACGTTGGGCCCTGTGCTGACAGCTCAAAGCCTGGAGACCGCTTCGGATTCTGTGTCTCCCTCTCTCTCTGCCCCTGCCCCACTCATGGTCTATCTTTCTCACTCTCAAAAATGAATAAATGTTAAAAAAAAAAAATTTTAAGTAAGGAAAAAAAAATGTTTGCCTCAAAAACCTACACTAAAATCTGAAAATGTCGCAACTTTCTGTCATTGTGCAAGACATCATTATTTCAAAAACACCTGTTACAAGTGTACTGAAATTTCAAGGCTAAACATCATCGAAACACTCATTTAGAAGTCCTAGGAACCCAACAGCAGGACATTCCTTTAAGAGACTGGTTTCCAACCGGGGGTGATTTCATCCTCCAGGGACATTTGCCTGGAGACATCACTGGTTGTCACAAATTGAGAGGGAAAATAGTGGCATTGGTACCTACTGGGTAGAAGCCAGAGATGCTGTTAAATACCCTACAATGTACATGCAAAGCAGCCCCATGACAAAGGATTATCCAGCCTGAAACGTCAATAGTGCCAAACTGAGAAACACTACCCCAAGAAACAGTAAAGCTTTTAAAAAGAGAATTTGACTTGGCTATAAGCAGAAAAGCCAGGAACAAGTAGAAGTGGCTTACTGAAAGCGTGTGGGTGGTGTCCTGAGTTCTACTGAGAACTGCAAATATAGGAGAGTAAAAATGAACAGCAACAGGGAAAATACGAAAGGCAAGGTTCACAAAGTAGGAGTCTACATGAAGCGGCAAAATTTGCCAGGCCCGGCCTGAACCCACCACTGGGCCTTCGCATGGGTGTTATGCAACTGTTGGGTGTGTGTTTAACCACGGCAGCTGGCAGGGGTGTATGGCCCCCTCAACAAACAGATTCATCAATCTGTAAAGCTCCCATTCTTTAGAAACATTTCTAAGACAATATATGAAATCCATTTTCTCCTGATTTTACTTGAAGATGAGTCACACAAGATGCCAGCTATACGCTTGATTTCGGGCTTTTAAATAGTGAGAACAGCTATTGAAAAAAATTACAGGGTAGAAAAGGCAGACAAAGGCACTAAAAAGACTCTGAATCATTCTGATTTTTATGGGGAGTAGGGGAAGGCATAGCCAGCTTAACCAATTTACATCATTTTGCTTCAGAAAATAAACATATACATCACGCTGACAATTTTATGCCATGCTTCACATGCTGAATTAAAATAGTTTCAGGAAAACATTTGGAAAACCAGAAGAGGGAAGCAATAAAATGAAATGCTTAAGGACCATTAGCTACTGAAGTGCATCTCTTACTAGACAAGGTAAATAACTTAATGAAATTGTTCTCAGTCCTGGAAGTAATGTTCTTCTGCAACCCAGGACCAATCACAAGAAAAACTGAGTTACCCTCAGAGACCTGCACATTTTATATCCACAAAGAGAACCCTACACCTGGACAAAGGGGTCACCTGACTTGCTCCTAAGAGCACACATGAATTTTGGAGAACTTTTTTAAAGGGGATTGAAAATGTTTTATCATTAAAGGAAATTTTCAAATGCCACCCTGAACTTAGTTAGTTAGTGATGGCTCTGAGTATTTTAGAAACATCAAAAAAGGGAAAAATGCAATTTCTCCTTTGAACCAACATGAACTCACAGAGGTAGACCACAATGGAGTTACACCTAGAATTTGGATATTATTTACTTTAAAACCTCATTACTTAGGGCTTCAATAATTTGCATTTGATGGTAATTTAGTCAGGCTGAAGTTGACTCTGCTAAGCAAAGCTAGACAGTAAAGGAGAATTTTTTTTTAAGTTTTTTAATTTATTTTGAGAGACAGCGTGAGCGGGTGGGGAGGGAGAGAGAATCCCAAGCAGGCTCCGTGCTGCACAGAACAGGACGCAGGGCTCCATCTCATGAACCATGAGATTGTGACCTGAGAGGAAATCAAGAGTCAAGTCGCCTAACCGACTGAGCCACCCGGGTGCCCCAAGGAGAATTATTAATAGTATAAACAAGATAGCAATATTAAACAAGCTTCAGTCATATATATGAATCCAAACATCTATCTCCGTTTGTTCAACAGGTTCCCTAAAAGACTGTTCCAGGCACCAATGCGTTATGAAGAGAAGGAGGGAGATGAGGAGAAGCAAGGGTAGCGATAGTTAATATTTATCATCATTGTGTGCCCGGCACTGCATTAAGGACTTCAGAACAATCTTCTTTTTCATTTATTGCTTGCAACAAGCAATAACCTTATGGGGCAGATACTCTTACAGGCCCGATAACCCTTACGTGCAATTCCAAAATCCGAAAGTATCTGGAAACAGACAGCTTTTTTCATAACTCACTTGCTGATAAAGGTTGACCTGACCGGAGCTGGCAGAAAACCCTGACCCGAAGTGACACAAAGCTCTTCACAGTCCTGGTGTGTTCTGTGTGATGGATTTGTCACAGCTTCTGCTGCAGAATGATGAATGTGGTTCACTCTGGGGTGCCGCCTCAGACCCCACTGAGGAGGGATGTGTAAAAGAGAGCTCCCTCCATTACCGTTCCCTGTACTATTTCACCTTTCTAAACCCTGAAAAATTCTCAATTCAAAAACACATTGGACCCCAAGGCGTTCAGATAAGGGGTGTGGCCCCTCAGCCCTCCCCGTCCAGCAGGTGAGAACACAGAATCTCAAAGACAGGTTCTCAGGAGCCTGCCCATGGCACACCTGGAGTGAGCGAGTATTGCAGTAGAGACAGGATTCAGTACAGTCAGGTCTGACTCCAGAACCCCCATTGTCATTAGCTGTCATTTGAGTGACTCCCCAGGCTCCCTAAGCATGACATACAGCTGAAAGTAATAAAAACCACACTTAAATGATACTTTCACTAACTCAGCAAACTACTGTCCTTAAGAATCTCAGAAGTCACCACTCACACTTTTCGTGCTCTCTCCCTGGCTGGTCATTTCTCGGATCCTTTCCAAAATAGCATCCTCCGTGGGCACAACCGTGCCCCAGTTGCCCCCGAGCAGCGCTGCGACTTTCTCCCTAAACGAGGAGTGCTGGTTTCTCGAGGCTGCCGTCGCATCCCGGCTGGCCTCCAAGCTCTTCTCCAACTCGCAAGAGCTTTTCTTCAAGAGGCTCAGTTCCTGCTTCGAGGCATCCCAGACCCGCTGGCCAGCAAGCAGCCTTTCTTGGAAGAGCTTGACTTCCCTTTCAAGAGCCTCCTTTGTCTCTACAGCACTGAGCAGGTCCTGAAACAAGTACAGAAAGTGAAGACAGGTACCTTAGCAGCCACTGAGGGACACGAGCATTTGCTTTCCGTTTACCTTGCTTACTGACTTCACGGAGTTAGGATTACATCACGACATTCCCTGTTTAACTGTAAATTCCCCACCATCTCTTCATAAAAATTATAAATTTTAAAGACTTAACATTAAAATTTTTTTTAATTATTTTTTAATGTTTTTTTTTTAATTTTTTTTTCAACATTTTTTTAATTTATTTTTGGGACAGAGAGAGACAGAGCATGAACGGGGGAGGGGCAGAGAGAGAGGGAGACACAGAATCGGAAACAGGCTCCAGGCTCCCAGCCATCAGCCCAGAGCCTGACGCGGGGCTCGAACTCACGAACCGCGAGATCGTGACCTGGCTGAAGTCGGACGCTTAACCGACTGCGCCACCCAGGCGCCCCAATGTTTTTTTTTTTTTTTTTTTTTTTGAGAGAGAGAGAGAGAGAGAGAGAGAGAGAGATAGACAGGGACAGAGAGCAAGTGGAGGAAGGGGTTAGAGAGAGGGAGGTACAGAATCCAAAGCAGGCTCCAGGCTCTGAGCTGTCAGCACAGAGCCCGACGCAGGGCTTGAACTTGTGAACTGCAAGATCATGACATGAACCGAAGTCAGGCACTTAACCAACTGAGCCACCCAGGTACCCCAACATTAAAAATTGTTTAATTAAAAAAATTAAATTTTAAGGGCTCTGTCAGGTAAAATTAGGTGTCTAAAAAAGAGAAGGGATAAAAACCAGGGCCAGGAAAAGAAGGAAACTGGCATATAAGCCTTTTCTGTGTGAACCTCTGGAAGACTTAACAAAAACAAGTTGTTGGCTAACATCTGGTAGAGGCAATCCATATTCAGAAAATGTTTACAGAATTATCTGCTGTAAAGTTTGATATACATGGAAATTGATTTTGAATAAACAGTAAACCCTCAGAGTCCTACCTACACTCTAAAATTGTTTGAATAAAGATGATTCCTTAATACTCTTTTAAATAATACAGTAGCATTTTCATAAAAACATCATTGCATAAAGGAGAATCAGATCTTGCTTTCAATATTCATTTACTGTGTATCTTCTTGTCTCATAAAACTGATAGAACCTGAAGAAAAGAGACAGAAATATCTATTTGGCGGGTGGGAGAAATAAAAGTAGAGGGAAATAAAATACCATACTGAGAAAAATAATTTAAAAAAAAAATTTTTTTAATGTTTATTTATTTTTCAGAGACAGAGACAGAGTGTGAGCAGGGGAGGGGCAGAGAGAGAGGGAGACACAGAATCCAAAGCAGGCTCCAGGCTCTGAGCTGTCAGCACACAGCCCAATGCAGGGCTAGAACCCACAAGCCGTGAGATCATGACCTGAGCTGAAGACAGATGCTTAACCGACTGAGCCACCCAGGTACCCCGAGAACAGTAATTTTAAAGAATATAATGTGTATTGTTAGGTTCACAAAAATAAAGGAAGGGCATAAGGGAGGCTACCTGTGTACCTACTTCTATTTACTATAATCCAGAATGGTGCAAAGAGGCATAAAAAAAGGACAAGTTTAAAGTCATTTTTAAAAAATGGGGCGCCTGAGTGGCTCAGTCAGTTGAGCATCCAACTCTTGATTTTGGCTCAGGTCATGGTCCCAGGGTAGGCGGATCGAGCCCTGCATTGGGCCCCATGCTGAGCATGGAGCCTGGTTAAGATTCTCTCTTTCTGGGGCGCCTGGGTGCCTCAGTCAGTTGAGTGTCCGACTTCGGCTCAGGTCATGATCTCGCGGTCCGTGAGTTCAAGCCCCATGTCGGGCTCTGTGCTGACAGCTCAGAGCCTGGAGCCTGCTTTGGATTCTGTGTCTCCCTCTCTCTCTCTGCCCCTCCCCCACTCTCTCTCTCTTTCAAAAATAAACATTAAAAAAAAACAAGTTTTTAATACTATCTTAGAGTCAAAAACAACGAAAAGTGAACAGTATCTTTGAATAACAGATTCCACACCTAAACAGGCCAGCAACATTTCAGGCTACTAGTTAAAATGCACTCATCCATCTTGCATCAGAACTGGACTTTTAAAAAGAATTTATCTCCACCAACAGCTTGAAGACAGGAAAGATGTTACTTCTTTACTTTTTATAAAAAAGAGAATATATTGTGGTTGGCTCCACAGCTCAGGGGTTAGAGCACCGGTCTTATAAAAAAGAGCCTATCTTACTTTTTTTTCCTTCTGATTTTTTAATCAAGGAAGTCTCCAGCAACAATTTGAAATAAAAGTCATTGAGTGGATAGGTAGTTACAGAAGTCTGCCCTTTTCAGAGATGTAATGGCTAAACTAATTATGGATTATGGAACCTATTTTGTGAGACACTTTGCTTCTCAAGGTCCTGGCAACAGCTTCGTTTCCCGGCTCCCTTTCGATTCTAGTCTTCCGTAAGGAGAAGCTTCACTACTGCTAATTAAATTACAGCCCTTAAAGTAGAGTCAAGGGCACTTTATCACAAAAACAATATTTTAAGACTTTACAGATTTCTTTCTCAGATAGTAATACAATAGCTGCTCCATTTGGATAACCAGTATCAGCGCTGGTGATAATAAATTAGAAACTACATGTTTTACTTAAAAACTACAATCTAACATGTGGTTAGAAAACTGAAGTCCCAAATTCAGTGATACAGAGCTCTAAAAAAAAAAACAAACCTCTAGAATGTTATATGTTGACTTTTATATTAAAAGAAAACCCCTAACGCAAAAGGGGAATTTCCATGACCGAGAGAGTGAGTGATATTTTTAACTAAGTACAAAAAGTTCTCAAAATACACAAAAAAATATATCAGACGCTTGAGTACTACAGACATACTGTCGGTGTGGAGTAGACTAACCAACCGGCAGCTTTCACCAAGAAACCAATAAGCAGTTAAAATATTCCAGCTATGAGGAACTTTTTTCCACCCCGATATCAGATTATTGTCTCCCTGCCCTCAAGACAAGAGCCAGTCCCTAACAAACCCAACACATGAAACTTCACGTCTGGTAAAAGTCAGAAAATTCATTTGTGATCATAAAATACAGGAGCACATGTCAGCAGGCTGGATTTCTCTTCTGGACACGTTTCAGCCCAGCGAACTATATGCTGTTTCTCACATGAAGCGCAGGCCTTGGGAGCCAGTGACAGGGCCTTGGGGATGACCGCTCCCTCGGCGCTCTGATTAAGCACTTGAGGATTTCGGAGCACTGGGCTGATCTACTGGGAACAGATGTCCTCAGGCTGCAAATGCAATTACCTGTAGAGCTAGCAGAGAGAGAACTGGAGTGTGGTTGCATGGCTACCTCAAGGATACACTTGTGTAGTGTGACATCGGTATCACCGGCCAGGACCCGGGGACTGCTGTCAGACTACACTGACACGCAGAGCAAGAAACAAGCGCTCTCTCTAAGCAAAATCAGGGCTGACCTCCACAGAGAAAATCACATTTGCAGATGAGGACAGGCCTTACAGAGACAGTGAGGGGATCTCTCTTTTTTTTTAATTTTTAATTGAGCTTTAGTCCTATTAATGCAAGAAATGAATAATGACCCCTCCACAATTACTTTTAGCAAAAACAATTGTAAATAATATGATGAAGGTGTTTGAGTTAGCTTCCCAATTAAATGCATGTCTGTATCAACTCCCAATTAAATGCATTAAATAATAAAGTCATTCAAAGGTCTGCATTTATTTGTTTATTTTTATTGTAGAGAGAGAGAGAGAGAAGGGAAAGGGACAGAGGGAAAGAGAGAGAATCTCAAGCAGACTCCATGCTCAGTGCAGAGCCCGATGCAGGGCTCAATCCCACAATCCTGGGATGATGACCTGAGCAGAAACCAAGAATCAGATGCTCAACTGAGTGAGCCACCCAGGTGCCCCCAAAGGTTTGTTTTTAAAATACAATTGTCTCCTGTTTTAATCTTGCTGCCTACTATATGGATTTGCATATGCACAAGATCAAACTTCTTCTCAAAAATATATGACTAATTATCAACTCTGGCTTGAGTTTAATTCATCCAACCCCAGACAAATTTTGCAAAATTAAAAACCAGTGGATTACATCTACCTACTGTAGTTAAATTTAACAAAAAAGCTCAGAAATTCTCCCAAAAAAACTGTTCTTATTCATTATTGGTAGAAGTGTGAATAGGTATAATTCTGATATAAATATCTAACAAAATAGGGGTGCCTGGGTGGCTCAGTCAGTTGAGCATCCGACTTTGGCTCAGGTCATGATCTCATAGTTCGTGGGTTCAAGCCCTGCGTCAGGCTCTGTGCTGACAGCTCAGAGCCTGACCCTGCTTTGGATTCTGTGTCTCCCTCTCTCTTTGCTCCTCCCCCACTCGCTCGCTCGCTCTCTCTCTCTCTCTCAAAAATAAACATTAAAAAAAATTTTTTAATCTAACAAAATAGAATATATGTAGGCCCTGTGGCCCTACAAGTCTAGTGTCAAGATTAGATCTGTAGGATAGACTACTAAATATGGAAAATGATGTACGTGCAAAGTTATTCCATTACAATACAGCAAAAGATTAGGTACTACACAAATACTCACTGATATGTGATGGGTTAAACCAATATGAGACACCTGTACCATAGAACACGATGTAGTCTTAAAAAGAATTGAGTAAACTTTTTATGTACTGATACGGAAGACTCTCCAAGGCACAGTTAGTGACAAAAGTAAGGTGCCTAATCAAGTGTCTAGTGCCATTTGTACCTACATAAACAGGACACCTCTCTAGAAACAAGCACAAGCAAGTGCCCATTTTGCTCATCTCTGGAGAAGGGACCTGTAGCTGGGGGGCATAAACATAAGGAAGATATGACAGAACACTGACAACTATGAAAACACCCGGGAAATGCTGGTGCATGTAAAGTGCCAAGTCAATAGTGATAGAAACACACACACACACACATGCACACATACACACACACACACACACACACACACACACACACACCCTAGGCTGT